TTACAGTCAAACAAGCTCAAGCGTTGACCCCTAGATTCGATTAATGAAATCATTAGTCAATTATTCCTTTTATACGTACGAATCGGAATAATGCAATATTGCAATATTCAAATAAAAATTCAGTTCATGATCATTATTCGACTAGTGATTAAGAAGGTAAATCATCTAAATTACAGATACCTTCGAGCAGAAGTCGCTCTCTTATTTCATAAGCATACACACTAGGTTTGTAATTTCCATGCCTCAATCAGTACTTGGAGGATATCATCAGTAATTTTGTAGGGAACGCTCACTCCTTGAGCGAAATGGAGACACAGTTCCATGTCGTCAATAATGTTAGAGTAGTTTCTGGAATCCCCAACTAGACATTTTCAGTTGTCGCGAAATTGCATTATTGGAAAATCCGCTATTGCTGAGATGAACAATTTCCTGTCGAATGATATCAGGTAAAGGCTTTCCCGGCACATAAACCTCACAATGATTCATAATAATTACCAAGTTGACTGTACAATGAATACAACATACTCGGGTCGTTAATTTTACAGTCATGCAGCCCGTACGTTTATTCGCAAATGATGCACCCTTACATCAGTTTCGAAACCATAATTAAAACATTTTCTTTAGCCCAGGTCAGATTTTTCCTGTTTGGCGGGTCGTCCTGGTATCCCTGGTCTCCACGGTACACCCGGTGCTCCTGGACGAGACGGACGAGATGGCAGACCAGGTACTCAAGGAAAACAAGGTCCTCGAGGGTTTCACGGGACTCCAGGCAAGCAAGGACCTCCCGGAGCTCCTGGTATACCCGGTCCCAAGGGTCCAAAGGGTGACGCTGGTCCAAAAGGAGAAAAGGGGGAGCCTGGTGCGAGAGGATTCTCAGCCTATTCGAACTGGAAAGAATGTTCGTGGATCAACATCGACGAAGGAAAAGACAATGGGCTGATCAGGGTATGTATGCTTACTTTGGCAGTAGTTCATAAACCCATTCTTTAAAACTATATTTATTTCAAGAATTGATGTTTGATCCAGAAAATTTAATAACCATATTCCCAATATAGAATGAGAATCCCATATTTATGCTTAGTTTGATAATCTTCTTTAATTGAGAGTTACATTTCTTTTCTTTGACTTTTTACTGCAGGATTGTGTTTTCCAAAAGAAATACAATAATTCCATCCTCCATGTTTACTGGAATGGCAACCTAAGGATACATAATTGTAACGACTGTTGTAAGCGCTGGTTCTTCACGTTCAACGGTGCGGAATGCAAGGGTCCTCGTGCTATTGACGGTATCGTGTACATGGCAAAAGGAGTGGGTCACAACATTCACCGCGTCCGCCATATTGAAGGTCACTGTGACAAGATCCACAAGGGACCTGTTCGTGTGGGCTTCAATGTCGGGAACTGTGCCGGCTATGGAAATGTTGACGCCAAAACCGGATGGAATTCAAATAGTCGTCTGTTCGTAGAAGAGGTACCCAGACCCCAGCCGTAAAACTATCCATTTCCGACAAGACATAAGCCAGACTGATTACATGCGAAGTCTAGTAAAGCACTATAACAAGCACTTTGAGAAGTTGTTTAATCCATGCTGTGTTAGTTGAATAAAATAGAAATAGAACATACGTCAATTTTTGTTATTTATGTCTACTACGCACTAGTATTCTGCCACTACTACTACTACTTTTACTT